TCCTGCTCTTTTGGCAAGCCCCATTCAAACTGCAAAGGTCAATGTGGGCTGATTTGCAGCTCCTGAACATCCAGTCTATGGGGAGTCCAACACAACTTTGACACAGAAGGCATGCACACTTTTACTTCTAAGCTAACAAGAGATGAGATGCTTCTGAAGGGATAGGAGGACTCACTACACACAAGATTATTATGGGAAATATTTTAGGACCTCTCCAATAATATCAATGCTTTGACTAAAGGGGATTCTTGCAGTTCAAAATCCACTTCAGTTGACTCAAGAAGCAAGAATATACCTGTTTCACAGCTTGACTAAAACTGATCTGTCATTAAACTAGTCTTTCCCTGCCATCTGCCAAAAAGAACAAGTCAGGCAGGTCTTTTAGCATTTATAAAACACATTATCAGGATTAGGTTTCAGAAAGCAATTCTTTATTCTGGATTTGTATTTTAAGACCTGCTGCTGGGAAAATACTTTTGCCCCATTCAAGAGTCACATCTCTACAAAGCCCTCCAGCCAACAGAGGCAGAACACATCTTCTGGTAAATCAACCCAAGACCGCAGTGGGTTTTAGCCCAGGAGAAATGATCTTGAACAGGGCTCTATTCAGGGGCAAGTAGCTATCAAATGCAGAGAACTGGGGTGAGGTGTTTTCAGTAACTTCCAGGCGCTACAACAGCAATCTGTTAGAAGTGACTTGTCTTAATTCTTCCTTCAAACACATTAGTCTCTGTGTTAAAGCTAGAGCCTTTGGTTTCAGCTCACTGATGAAGCAAATACCCGCTTCCATGGTGAGTTTGGAGTCACATAACAGCCCCTTTTTGTTGGCATTATCTTACAGAACATGCACAGAAATGAGTTAGAAGGTAGTTCACCCACTAAGACACAAGCAAGACAAGTCTGTAAGAAAATATAATGACGAGCAATAGATCTGTCAAATTGTAACTCTTAGATGCTGCTACAATCGATGCAATGAGAAGCAGAACTGTACCGATTAAATAATGAAGAAACTCCTATAAAGACAAGAGTAGCCTGCTTTAGAAGGAAAGCTTATCAGGAAAGCATTTCAGTGTACATTAGAATCAAAACAACTTGGCAGAGGTCACTCAGAAATCCAGAGGAAAGACCATCAGTCAGAAGAAAAAACTACAACTGTAAAACAAACAAAGCAAAAAAAAAACAATTTGTGAGTGAGTTCTGTACTCTACATGACTTTCTGTTTGAAAGGGAAGGGTCAATCTTCTGGTCCACTGATTTCACTGGAATTACATCTGCTTACTGGGTATGGACCCAATCCTTTGAATCCAATACAGCACATTATAGAGGGTGACACTTTCATGTTTACATAAGAGGAAAACCAAATGCCTCTACTTCCAATAATCTTAAAAAGCAAGCAGTGAACCTACTGTTGGATTTACTAACACCTTAATTCAACCAAAGCAGCAGAGAACCACAAAAGACACAACGCCACAAACGCTCATAACCAATAGCAAAGTTTCAGGAAATCTGCCTTAAGTCAGTAAGTGTGCCTGCAGGCCAGTTATGCAGCAAAACATGATGCCACAGGTTGTTCAGATGAAAGTGCTGAGGCACAATATTCAACCTCTTCTCTAGTCTGAGGAGTATTGGTCCAGGAGTCATTTTGGTCTCATTACAAGCCGGAGTTCTGTGCGGATTTAGATTTTGATTCCTCACAAAGCAAACAATACTGGTGTTGGATTCTGCAAAAGGAGCACAGGTTGTTCCCTTTGTCTGATGGGGTGGAGCGGAGGGAAGTCTGCTTACTGCATTTGCCTTGTACTAGGAGCATGAGCCAAACAAACGCCAGGTGCAAGAGAGAAGAGAGATGCCTTCTTAAATCAAAGGAGAGAGAATATAGTCTCAAAAGGAAATTGCTCAAGGACATTCCAGAAGAGAAATGGTCTATTGTACCAAATCGCAGCTTCCTTTTGCTAGCTCAGGTGTTAAAACAGCTGAAGAGGATCCTTGCCATAAAGCATGTTCTCAGATTGCAAATTGCTTTCCTCTTTTGTAATTTTGTTAGAATAAACTTAATATTTCCATAAAGAGGCTTTCTGGCTAGTCTGTGATATGACAGGCAAATCAGACAGGCCATTGCTTCCCTAGAAACACCAAATAAAGCAGTGTATGCAGGCCACTACTTCTGAGAAACCCAAGGGATAAGCCAACGTGCAGAAGAATTGACAAAGCCTAAATTATGTGGAGGAGCAACCCCTGGCAGGATTGGGACAGTGCCACTACGGAGAAATACTTCCCAGCTTGAGAAGGATGTCAGCTCTGAGCAACCTCTTGAACCACTGCAGTTTTACTGGCTGCAAATCACACCTCTGATTACAAGGTACAGATCCTGCCAGGGAGCTCAGCCAAACACTAGTCATAGTTTCACAGTGTCTTACAGGACTTCCTAGTCTGTTCTAAAGACGCTTAAATATTCAATCGAAAAGGAGGTTGGTCGTAAAAGAAAAGTAATACACAATCACGCCCCATAAAGCTCTCTGAAGTTGAGCAGCCACAAACTGCAGTGCCTTAAACATACTAGTGACTCTAGAACGTCTGAGAATGAAAAAACACACAACAAAAACCAAAAGCATTTCAGCAGCATATGCAGAGGTCAAAATGGCATATTAGTCCTGTTACAGCAATGCACACTTTAAATGTTGCTTTGCAGAACTGTCATTTATCAGCCTACTTCAAACCCATATTATATTGTTTCATTTGTATTATCTCTAGATAAAGATAGAAGTAGCTTCTAGAGATTGATAACGGAGATAAATATTTAAAAAAATAAAAAGGGGTGCATGTCTAACTACACTCTTCAGTTAAAAAGAAAAATAAAATTAACATTTTCTCTCTGGTTAGAAGTGGCTGGATGCACAGACCACAATCTTAGATCTGGAAACTACTTATGTAGTTTCCATTAAAAGCTCTCCAAACACTTCTTGAATTTAAGAATTCCCTCTGCATCTCTCTAGTTGGCTTTCCCCAAACCTTTAATCTCTTATCTGTGGGACTAACACATCACTATGCATAAGAGACATATGTTCTAAGAGGCTATTAAAATCTGTGATCCTGCATAAAAATAAAAGACTCTTCTGCTAGCTGACCTGACCCAAAGTTGCTGACAAAGTTCAGGTTTCATTTTCTGTGCAGTATGTTACTTCTCTGCAAGGATATGAGAGGTGAATGTGCTGGGGAAATGGCGGAATGAGGCAGGAACATCCTGCAGGATATCCTAGGAATGGACAGGCTATGGCAGTAAGGCCTATTCTTGCTATCGTTTAAGTCACCAATGACCATACCCCAAAAGGGTCACATTTGATTTAAATAGCACACGTAGACTTTATTTTGGGACAGGATGTAGTACATGAATTCTAATCTAATGATTAGGGACACTAGCAACTGCTTAGCTGCTGTAATTCACCTGGTTCCCTCATTACTCTGGGCTTTGACTTGTTCAGTCACCTACACCTGAGAAAGTACCACTAGGCTGATCCAAAAGGATTTTACATCCCCTCCACAAACTGAAGAAGCGCTCAAGCATAGCTTTCAAGAGCAGTATGTGCTTAAGCACTTTTCCGAGTTAGGGCCCATCTACTGAAGGCTTGATGATCAGTAGCCTCTTTTGAATTGTCCCAGAGTTACACTATTGCCTTCCCTGGGGTAAATCTGGATTTATATCTATGTAAGATCCAAATACAGGATCAGATCCAAATCATCCAAAATACATAAAATTACAGGAAAAAAAAAAAGGGATTGTTTTGAAAGGAAAAAAAAAAAAAAAAAAGTGAAAGAGAGTCAGTGTGTGACAGCACAAGAAAATGGACTAAGTAATCTAGAGAACAACCCACAAGAGATGCAAGAAACTCACCCTAATTGACTTACCGCAAGTGGCCAGCTAATGCAAGTGAGCAGCTTGTAGATTCTGAATATGTGGACAATGTAGAAGAACAAAATCATAACCAAGTCACACATGGTGACAATCTGAAAGTAGCTGTATGCACTGTAGTCTGTCCACTGAGAACTATTTACACTGATGAACCCAACTAGCAGCGAGACCTGAAAGATAAAATGCACATTAAAAATGTTTAGAATGGTGCTCAGAGGGCTGCAGAGATTTTAAACACAATAAAATGGCATTTAGAAACTGAAGACGACTAAGTTCAAAGCAAGCTGAATGGTCCCAATAAAACAGAGGACAAAGTAAAAAGCATGATAATCATTTTAGAAAACCGCCCTTAAATGCAGTAAAATAACCATTAAGAGAGGGGAGTGGGGAAAGAGCCAAATGCTACAAGGAAAGCAGCAGTTTCACATAGCCTGAAGTCCAACCTGAAGAAGTCTCTATGTATAACGAAAGAGGTTTCAAACAGAGAAGAGCCATAAAAAATCTGGAGTTGCATCAGTGATCTAAATTGCACGGACTTCCAGCAGGATTGGGATTGCTCAATGCAATCAAAAAAACACTGAATTCTGTAGAAATGAAGGGGCCTGCAAATACATGTGTCTTTACTTCCGTTTAGTGAGATTTTTCACCTGCAAAATTGGAGGACCTGAATGCAACTGAGCTAGCAATGTCACCTTTCCTTTTCTGCCACCTACAGAAGGACAGATTATAAGGTAGTATCATAGGAAAGAATAAAAACATTTGATAAACCGACTAATTCGTCCCATCCCCTGCCACAATAGTTGTAAGGCTTTAATATGTTAACAGTGTCACATGAAGTCGTGATGCCTTATTGCATGACTTCTGTCAGTACCAGGCTTGCAAAGGACAAAAGTTCTTTTTTTTTTTTTTTTTAATCTAAAGCTACTTGTTTATTTTACTGATCTGCCTGCTTTTACGAACCTGGCTAGCCTGTGTGATAAAAACAAATCTGGCCAGGATATACCCAAACATTTTCTTATTACAAACTTCAGCAATGTATGCTTTCAGCCACTGCCATTTTTAGTTCATCCAAAGTCACCCAGGAGCAGTAGATTCACACTTTTAACTGTTTATCCAAGATATTCAAAAACTTTCTGAGGAAACCTGCACTTCAAGACTGCACCTTTCTTTCTTGCACAACCTTCTAACCAACTGCATTCATTATCATAATAATTTAAGCAAGATTAAAAGAAAAAACAAATAAACAAACAACATAGCTCAGGTTCTCACCTGTCATAGTTTTGAGTGAGTTTCACCTGTTGAGTTCCAAGTGGACAGGCTGAGCATAAACACCCTCCAGCACAACCAAAACCTCTATACACACAAGGACCATCACAGTACATTGCCATCTTGGCCAAACTCCATCCGAGCAGCCACATCAATGTTGTGACAATGAACCACCTTAAAGAGGTGGCTCCAAGGAGAAAAGTCAGTGCTGGGATCCTCTTCCACTCCAAGTGGCTGCATTATTGTTAGATCTGGTCCAGCTCTGCTATTTTTACTGTGGTAGTCAAAGTAGTTGATACTAGCATGGTAAGTCATGCTCAGCCCAAGTCAGTGACAGGCTTCTGTTGTAAATGTAAGCCTACTCCTTCTCCCACCTTTGAAACAGATGTACGGTAGAGAAGATACGGCTTTGAGATGCAAGGCCAGGTCATGCTCAGCACTTCTCAAGAACGGAGGCTACATGTGCCTTTGCAAACACGTTAAATTGCCCTATTCCTGTCTCCTCAGATGAAGAGAATTATGTTCCTGCCCTCTGGTTCAAGAGTGCAACACCTTTAGCAGCATCCTGTATGTTTATTGCTTCTGCTTGTACCACGCCTGTTCTCTGGCTCTCAATCCAGGGCCCCTAGGTAATCCTAAATGTAGGAAATTTCACATCTTGTGTGCATGGCAGAGTTTGCTGAAATGCTAGATTTCTTAAAAGACAAGAAAGCAATATCCTCCACAATTCAGAAAATAAACACTAACAGCCCAGTTCTTCAAATGTGAGATCATTTTAACGAAGTTTTATCTAATCTATGTCTACATACACCAGGTCTACATCAAGCTGTGGTTTCACAGGAGGACATTGCCTTATCTTCTCCTCCTTCCCACCCTGATCCCACTCCCTGTCATGTACCGGCTCCTGCACTCATCTGAGCTGAGCCACCTTAGTGTACTAAGAGAATAGAAAATTGAACTACCAAAAAAGCAAATAGCTTTCTCCTGGCTCAGGCACTCACCCAGGGCAGGTGAGCAAGGGAGTGCAAGGGAGAAGGGAAGATTCCAGTACAGGGGAGAGGAGAGGACTGAGCCAGCAGGACAAGAGCAGTAACCAGACTGGCTCAGGCTGCCGCAAACTGTCCATTCTTGATTTCTTGAATGCTAACATTAGTCAAGCAAAGAGACATCTGAGTGGGCTGTTGAGTAACCTGTGCAGTAAGAGGGACAACAGCAAGGCATTTACTCAATAATCTAGGAGAACACCTTAAGTCATAAGTGCCAATATTTTCACGAGAAACACTAATGAAACTTAATTCTACAGTAAGACTCAACAAGGACTAACAGCAAACTTTGAATCTTGTTCTTGGATAAAGGCGGGATGAGGACAACACTTCTCTAACCATCAAAGGCTAAAGGGGGGTCTCTCTTATTCAGGTGCCTTCACAGTAACCAGTTCTCAGTTTCAACTGCACTGTACAAATCAAGAAGGAAGATCTAATTTACAGAATTGTTGAATCTGTCTATTGGCTCATTTCACACTTGAACTGTCAACTTTTTTACTGTGTACAAAGGATAAGGAGGTCTGGGGCCCTGAAGAGCAACCACCATCTAAATAATAAGAAGCACTAGTTTAAAAAAAAAAAAAGCAAAAAACAAAAAGCTTACTTAATTTAATAATTATTTTACCAGATCTAGTCCTTTACCTTCATGGAAGCATACAAGTATTCTTTTCTGTTTGGCAGAAGGTATACAAATTTTAGAACAAACAGAAAGGAAAATGTGAGTCATCCAAGGAAAAGATCAGGAAATTCATCTGAGAATGAATCCTTAGAACTACGAAGATGCAGCGTACAAGTTAGTGAAGCATCTGCTACAGCTCCCAAGAACAGAGTAGAAACTTGAGTTTGAACAAACATTCCACTCTAGGGGCACTTCCCAATTAAAACAATTTGAAAAACAGTAAAGAGTCTCCTTTCTTTGATTTCAGATGAGCCTCAGCATTTACCAAAGGTAGGCAGAAATCACTGCATGGCACCTGATCTCTCTTTCACAAACTATCCTTTTTAGCACAAATTTCAAACAAGAAGACATTTACATGCAATTTCTAAAGAGGGTTCTCTAATCAGAGGCACATAATGTCATTTCACAGGACAGACACAAAGGAGACCAGACCAACAACTTTACATAAAACTATACCATATTAGCCACAATATATGGCCTGTACGGCTAGCAGAGTTTAAAGCTCACTCTTTGAAAAAGAACATTAGCAAAAGCAGGATGTTGAACCCCTTCCAAATAATGCCACAGAGCATTATTTTTTCTTTAAATTTGTCAAATATCAATCAAAGTTGCTTCATCAGATATCAGAGTTTATCATGATATAGCAGGTGGTGAGTATATCTTATTTCTGTCTATAACTTCTGTTTCCAGAAAACTTGAAATTGAGTGATGAAATCATTAATATTTAAGAGTCTAGGATACAACTCACCATATACTCCAGAAGTCAGAGTGTAGTACAGACATATGGATGTATACTGAGAGGGAAATGAATGGCAAAAAAGTAGTAAAATGATCAAATGTTATGATTGTTCTTTATGCATCTGTGCTCAGGGGAGCCGGTTAATAAAAACTGGAATCAAAAAAATTTAGGGCATTGCCATTTCCATTTCAGTATAGTATTTCGCAAATTGTGAAAGCAGCAGACTTGTGACCCATTCTCAGCAAGGCAGTCAGACCAGAAGTACAGGTCAAATGGCGGTCATTCTCATTAGATGACTTCAGTGTGCTCCATCAAATATAACCAGGCTTCAGAGCTGCACTACCCGAGGTGTAGGGGAGACACTGTAAGACACTACTGCTAAACGCCTTCCGATTTCTGAACAGCAACACAAAGAAAATATGCATCAACCAACTCCGGGGAGGGATTTTTTGGTTTAAATAAAGCTCCCTATTTACCCTGTTTCACAGAAGTTGATTGAATTAAACTAATCCACTTGTTGACTTTCCATTGGACCAGATATTTTAAGTGAGTCATAAGGAGTGGTTAGAAACACTGGGCTATTTCAAAAAGTATCTCCCACTGAAGCCAACACGAGCTGAAGGCAGGCACAAATTGCCAGGAGGTAGTCGGCACCTTACCAAACAGATCAAACAGTATGGAAGAAAGATGACAGAAGTCCACATTCTCCTCTTTACTTTGTGCTGGAGACAAGGCAAACTTCTCTGCAACATGCCTGCGGCAAATGCTGGCTCTTCAATAGCACTGAACTAAACTCCACTCTGGTTTGAGCTGAGTAGAGCTCTACCAAAAATGAAATGTAATCTGCTCTTTCCTGATACAGTCTTCCTTTGAAAGCCAATCCATAGCCCCTAAAAAAGGGTGAACAAGCACAGATCTTTGAAGTTCCTCATATCTTAACAGGAAGTGGGACACAGCCTGGGAGATCTCACACCTCGCAACTAAGGAAAGGCTAGGGATTATGCTGCTGTTGCTGTCTTTAAGTGACCTCTCGAGGGCAAGGCTGAAGATCTTGCTGCCATGGTTTCTCCCCGGTGCCGTGACACTACTCACTAGATGTAACAGGCACAGACCAGATCTACCAGCCACATCTAGGGCTGGCATGTGACAGAGGGGCTGCAGCTTTGCCATGGGTGTCCCAGCTGTGTGGGGAACGTGAGGTGTGATCCATGCTCACATGTTTCTCATGCTCACAACAAGAGATGACACCAATCTGTTAAGAATGGCATGCTCTCACTTTGTACCTCTCAGGCTGGAGAGGAGAGGAAGGGACTGGACAAGAGAAAAAAATTCTCTTTGAAACACTTTGTAAAAGATTCACTTTGTTTTCCTCCCAATTTCTTCTTGTCCATGTCAAGGAATAAGCATTTAAAGTCTGTTGTTCCACCGCATTAAAAAAAAAAAATAGGAAGATCTCTACCAGTACTTCAAGTTATTCTTCTGCTGTAGGAAAATTCAACATCATCAAAAGGAAAGAAAAGGAATCATGCGTTTTCATATTACAAGGAGATTATATACAAGAGGAAGATCCACCTCGCAGTTATTTCCAGGGCCAACACACACTGGAGAAAAGGCTCTTGGTGTTAGGCCCACAGGCCACTGAATGGCTAGACTCAGATCATTTGAATTCCACCTACCTCCCTGCATTTGCTCTTGGCTGGCTGCAGTCCTGACAAAGCAATGATAGAAAAAGCTAGGCTCCAAGCACCTGAGCTTCCTAGGACTGGACTAGGCATGATGCTAGGACCCAGAGCAGCCCAGCAACACAGCCCTCAGCATCTCTGGTGGCAGGAATCTGCAGTTCCAGTGGGTGCTCAGCACTGCTGCCAGCCCTGCCATCAGCCACGTGCCCCAGAGTCATCCACATCCCAAGAGCAATGGGCTGTCATCCCCCAGACTACGACAAATAAATTGTAAATGTGCTGGAGTGCACCAGCAAAGATGGAAGAGCCTGGGCCAATGCAACACATTTCAAGCATGCTTACAAGAGAATCACCTGCTCAAAGCAAAAGCCAGGCCAAAGTGCACTCTCACCAGTCAAGAGGTTACAGATATTACTTTCTTCCCTAGTGCCCTGAGGATAATGAAGGAACCATAGCATAAAAAAGGACTTGTTACATTGTCTTCCCTGTCCCTATATGCTGGCTGGCACCTTATCTGACCACAGAACAATTTTATAACCCAAGAATAAATCTGTGTAAGTAAGTGCTTCATATGATCTCTTTCTACTGTCCTGCTTTATTGGATGTAATAAATAAAGCTCGGGCTTTATTACTGATACTTAATTCTTGTGTAATATTTGGAAAGAACTAAATTTTCCTCAGATACAGTTACCTGCAAAAATATAATGATCCCCCAGAATGATCCCCAATATCAACAATATCCTGCTCTAAAGGAAAGCCTAACGTTCTCAGCATTAGAGATAACACTTTCCTGGATAATTACAGACCAAGGAAAGAAATGAGTATCGGTGGCTCTTGTGTTCTGACCCCAATTTTGTAACTGTGTTTTGGTCTGAACTTGAGTAAATCATGTAATCTCCCTGCTTCAGCTCCCCCATCCACCAAATGAAGGCTAATAACTACTTCTTATGCATTGTGTCAAAGATTTTCACCTTTAAAACACTTCAGATGTGTAAAAGAAAGCAAAAATTTTGAGCAATGCTAATAAACCTCTAGGTCAAGATGACTTTCCTTTACTGTGTGAATGAGAACAGACACCCACCAAAAAAAAATCCCCTAGATCACAGATGTAACAGACAAGCAAGGGTGAAAATATCTATGGAAAAAAAAAATTAAAACATCCAAGAAGGGAG